GCCCCTTATACCTCGCGGCCCGAGGACACGCCCCTCTAGGGCTCGCCCCGCCCCTTCCCTTAAAGGCGCAGGCTCCCGGGGAGGTTCCCAGGGTCTAACTCGTTGCCAGTCTCCCCTGAGCTCTCTGCCCGTCGGTTCTGCTTTCGTCGCTAAAGCAGAAGCGGAGTTGAAACCAGGTGGGACAGCAGGAGGCTGGAGAGGGGAAGTTAAAGGGTGAAACTGAGGGGTTCTATTCCCGAGGGCGGGGTAGGCAAGAAGATGCCAAAATGCTTCTGGTAATGGATGGTGATGAGGAATAATGGAGATGGTCCCAGGTGGGGAGGGCCCTGACTTCTCCACAAATATTCCAGCTGCCCTGAAATGCTTCTATTTGAGAAAACCCTAATTGGGTTGAGCATCAATTTTTGTTTTGTTTTGTTAACCTTCACCCAAGGATATTTTCCTCCACTGATTTTTAGAGAGTGGAAGGGAGGGAGGAGGGAGAGAGAGAGAGAGGGAGAGATTAGTTGCCCAGGGATTAAACCTGCAACCCAGGTATGTGCACTTGACCAGGAATTGAACCTGAAACCCTTCAGTGTGCCCTCGGACGCTCTAACCACTGAGCCACACCGGCCCAGGGCTTGTAGCATTGCTTTTAAGAGAGGAAGGCAAATAGGCCAAGACAGGGGAATTAGTGATCTACTCGTCCTGGCTGGTAACAGTCTTCCTCCCCAGTTTCCCAGCCTCCTGGGGAAGTTCTGGTCATCTCTGTCTTTCCTGCCTTGGGGACAGCACATATCTTTCCTGGTCTGGGGACAGCACGTGGGCTGGAACAGGGGTGATGAGGCTGGGAGCCAGCGTCTCCTCCCAGGTGGCCCCTATAGCCCCGCACTCACCTCCACAATTGGCACACGTCTAATCCCACGACCTCTAAGTCTCCCTGCTTCCCCACCTGCGGACCCAGGCCCAGCTCTGAGCCCGGCCTCTGAAGCCCTCCACCTTCCAGCCCTAGCGCCCCTCCTCTTTTACCCTCACCTCCATACCCTCCTGCCCTGGCCCTGTAAGTGCCCCCCATTCTCTGAACACCCCGCTACTTACACACGGCCACACCTCTGCTCCTTCTGAGTCCTCTGCCCGGGTGACACAAAGGAGTCCCCTTCACCGTTGTGGTCCTGCAATCACTAGAAAGATAAGGCCGAGTGAGCACCCAGTTCAGGAGGCCCAGGGCCGGGACGTGGGCAGCAGCTCCTGGAATCATGCAGGTACCTGGGGAAAGCGTGAGAGGAAATAGTAAGGAGTGAGGGGGAACTTGGAAGAGTAAAGAGAGAGCGTCAGAACTTTCAGTCTTAGCCCAAGAGGCCCAGAGATTTGGAAGGTTCCTTAAGATGCACGAGTCTCAACTGCAACCAACACAAGTTCCCTCCTGGCTCCAGCAGCCCTGAGCACAAGGCCTGTAGTTACACTCCCCCAGGGATGGGTGCTCATCACCTCCCATGGCAGCCCAACTGCCAGTGGACAGTACCAATTGCGAGGATGTCTTTCTTTTTCTTTCTTTCTTTTTTTAATTTTTTAAATTTTATTTATTGATTTTAGAGAGAGAGAGGAAGGAAGAGAGAGAGAACCATCAATTTGTTGTTCCATTTATTTATACATTCATTGGTTGCTTCTTGTATGTGCCCTGACTGGGGATCAAACCCACAACCTTGGCATATCGGGACGATGCTCCCACCAGATGAGCTACCTGGCGAGGGTGCAAGGACGTGTTTCCATTGACGTTGCCAGAAGGAGCCTCCAAGGGGCTAATCCTTCTAGAAAGTGACTTGGCAATTGACAAATGTCAACCTTAAGAGCTTCAAAAGCACATGAGCCTTCTGCACCACCGATATTGCTCCTGGAGCTTTCCTGTAGTAAAAGATTTGGACAATGCTCTCAGCACAGGGATGTTTTACCACAGTGGCAACAGTTGAAAATGCCCTAAATGTCCAGTAATGGCCTTGCCATGGTTGCCATGAACAGAATTGTTCAATCTATTTTGATGAGACTCTTAGAGCACCTCCCTGTGGGGTCCCCCCACATGTAGTGGATACGAATTAGGTCTTTGGATTGGCCAGATCCAGGCCCCCAAATTGAGTTTGTCCCTGGGGGAAGTCACCTCTCGGACTCTGGTTTTCTATCTTTACAATGGGGTTAAGATTCCATGGATCACTCAGGGTAGCTGTGAAGTTTAAATGAGGAAATGCACGTCAGGTGCATGTCAGATATCTTGTCTATAACAGAATTGCTCAGTGGTCTCAGGAAGCACACCTGGGTGACTGGTCACACCTGAGCCACTCGATGGCCACAGGGGGTCATGTGACCCACATAGGGAGGGTCAAAGGTTGAGCACTGGGGCAATGCTGTCACAGTGTCGTCGTTAATTATAGTCACTGTGCTGTACATTAGAGCTCCAGCATTTATTCACTCTGCATAACTGAAACTTTGTACCCTTTGACCAACATCTCCCCATTTCCCCTCCCCTCAGCCCTTGGAAACCACCAATCTACTCCCTATTTCTATGAGTTTGACTATTTTAGGTTCTACATTTAAGTGAGATCATGCAACATTTGTCCTTCTGTGTGTCTGGCTTATTTCACTTAGCACAGTGTCCCCCAGGTTCATCCATATTGTTGCAAATGGCAAGATTTCCTTCTTTTTAAAGGCTGAATAATGTTCCATTGCATATTTGCACCACGTATTCTTTATCCATCACCCTTCAGTGGGCACTTAGGTTTTCCGATACCTTGGCTGTTGTGAATAACACTGTAATGATCATGGGAGGGCAAGTATCTCTTCCAGATCCTGTTTTCATTTCCTTTGGATATAGACCTAGAAGTGGAATTGCTGGAGCCTATGGCAGTTCTACTCTTAATTTTCTGAGGACCCTCCATACTGTTTTCCACAGTAGCTGTGCCAATTTACATTCCCACCAACAGTGCACAATGGTTCCCTTTTCTCCACATCCTGGCTAGCACTTATCTTTGTTTGTTTGTTTGGTAATAGCCATCCTAACAGGTGTGAGGGGACATCTCAAGATTTTCATTAGCATTTCTGGAAAGGGTGTTACATCCTGGGTGCTGGGACTGCCTGGCCGGCCACTGCCACCAGCTGATTGTATTTGGATTTGCCTCAAGGGCCCCTCAGATGACAACCTGTCCTCCGTGACTCCCCAGATTCCCTAACCCATTTGTCAGTTGTTCTTTCATGATGTTTTGGACATGAAAAAAGTTAAAGGGAATTTTATATAGTCAAATGTATCCATTTTTTTATTGTATCTGGATTTTGAGTCATAATTAGAAAGCCTTTTCCCATAGATCTTATGGAGGAATTCACCCATATTTTCTTCAAGCTCTGCAGTTTCATTTTTACATTTAGAGTCTCCTCATTTAAAAGTGTATTCTTGTGTATGGTGTGAGGAGTGGATCCTGCATCAAAAGAAAAGGAGAGAATTTTGGGGACAGTTGGAAAAAT